CAAAACATCATAGCATTCAAATCTATACAACTCTCAAGCAATAAGAAATGGAATAAAAATAAAAATGCCAATAAACAACACATAATAAAAAAATGAAAAACCTTCTTTGATTTATCTGTGGAACAAATATGAAGTCAATCTGTGTTGGTGTTCTAGTTAATGGTGTGTCAAGTTTGTTGGAAGAAGAATATGAAAAACTAAGGGGGGCACATATATAAAATTTTAAAAGGAAAAATTGAAAATATTTTTGAAACTAAAAAACTAAACTAAAATTTTAAAATTTAAGGGCATGTATTCCTCCTAATCGCATCAGGACAATTATTTTTAAAATCATAATTAAACATAATACAATTTCTATTAAAAATAAATTTCAAACACATGATTTTTATTAAACAAACCAAGTGTAAATCAATGAGAAACCAAAATGAATAAATTTAAAAATGACTAGGCTGAGCTACCTCTGATTTTGGAGTCCCTTTTCCCAAAAGTGAAGAGACACCATTACATGAAAATTAGGATTTTTTAAAAGAAAGATGAGAACCTTATTCAGTGCATGTAAACATATAGTCCTTGGTACGGTGGTATGCAAGTTGTGCATGCATCTAGATTTATGAAACATATGTTCCATCATCAATCAAATTTTGAGTCATATATATATACATACATAGACAGAGGAAAATAGAGAAAGAATAAATTATATTACAAAACCATAAAACTTGAACTCAACTATTATATTAGTTTCTTTATTTTTACATAAAAATATGATTAATACTATACCAACTAATAAAGTTTCATACTTGTTTTTTACTAATTAATGTGACATTTAACATATTATTAAAATAAGTCATATTTTTTTTTTTTTTTTTTTTTTTTTGGGCACGACACCTTGAAAACAAATTTAGGATTAATTACATCAAAATCTCTTCAATTATTAACGAATATCACTTTATTCTCCATTTATAAATTTATACATTTCGATTTGCTTAACTATAAAATTTTGCAAATGTCATAGGTAAAAGTAATGCATTTTTATAACTAAGATTGCCAAAATATACGACTTTATAGATGATCAAATAAGATTCAAAATAATTTAAAAAATTAATGTAATTAATTTTAGATTTTAATTTGTATAGTATTTTTTAAAAAAATTTGCCAATATTCGATGACACTCTAGATGGATTGCATATTAGTCAGCCAAGGGCAGCAAAAACGGAGAAAGTGGTGCACCTTATTTGGTTTGTTTTTCAGAAAAAAAATTTGAGAAAAATTCTCTACAAACAAATTTTGAAGAGTAAACAAACCAAACAATTTTTTTAAAAAAAAATTTCAAAATTTTGTTTGGTTACCTACTTTCTAAAATCACTCTCTCTCTTATACACATCAAATTAATCATTTTTTTTAAAACTCTCTCCAAAATAATTTTTCAAAAATATTTTTGAAAAAAGATAAATCAAATAAATTTTCGTACTTTTTATCTTAAAAATTACTCTATAAACACAGATGTGTCAGATCAAGTTGGGTTGGGTCGGGTTGGGTTGGAACACTGGCTTTGCGGGTCAGACATATGATTACTACATACAAAACTACCAAGATTGGCTTCTGAATTCTGAAACAGCCTCCCAAGCAGAATGCAGTTTTTTCTCAGGAAAATACTAGTAAGCTCTAGAAACGACAACATCACAGTCAATCACAAGACAAAGACATATACATACATAATTGTAGGAAAATGTATAGAGAGAGAGAGAAACAAAAAGAGAGAGAATAGGGCGGGGATGCACATGTTAAGAGGGTAGTAAAGGAAAAATAATATATAATTATGTTCTTTTTTATATTTTTAGTAATGTATAAAATAAATAATTTATTAATGATTAAAAAAAATATAAAAAAGAGAGTTGGTTTTTATAACATGGAGGCCGAAGCCCAGACAGGCCGGCCTGAGGTGAGGCATTAAGGCGGTCGCCTCGGGTTTTTAATTTTGAATAAAATTTAAAATCTTCAATTAGGAGAGTATATCATGTCATGTTATTTCATAATTATTTTAATATTAGTTCAATTCATTTATTTTCATGTTGTTGTGTGGTATTATTTTCCTTCGTGTCCGATTGATATTTAATGTGAAAACTTTTAGTTTTAGTTAAAAATAATTTAACAAGTGTATGAAGAGATTAAATTTTTTCTCATAAGTTGAATTTTATAAAATTTATTTCTACTAAATGAAATTATTCCTAGAATGTTTGATTTTAATTCAATTACATTTTTTTAATTAAAAAAATTGTACTTTATTACTATATATTTTTTATTAGATTGACTGTAATATAGGTAGCAAAAAAATACATATCTTAAATGAAAAAAAAGATATTAGCCTTAATTATTATTTTACATACTTTTTTATTCAGTTACATAGAGTTAAATAAAAGATTAAAAAAATATCATGACATCTCTTAGTGAGCATTAAAACATATAACTAATAATTCATATTATTGAGTCGTGTCATACTTAGATTCATATTGAAAAATAGTCAACCCTAACTTACTAATTTTATATAATGCTTGAGTTGTGTCGAAAATTCTCATCCTTACCCCCAATTAATTTTAGTTCTTATAGCATTGGTAAGCTCAAAAATAAATATTCGATTCAACTAATTGAAGTTCAATTATTTTATATATATATATATATATGTATATTTATTATTTAAATTTTGTTAAATTGTAATGCAATAGAAATAAATTTTTACTCTTTTTGTTTTATCCAAATAATTTTTTTTTTTTACGATAATGATACATGAAAGCCCAGTTTAAAAAATTGGTCTTAGACCCTAATAACTCGGGCCGGCCCTGAGCACAGACTACAAACGGATATTGCCAGAGAAACTCCCTCCTTGCTTGTTGCTATCTAGAGCCAACTCCACAAGAGAAGGGGGCTGTTAATAAAATTTCATTTCTAAACAGAGAGTTGATTTTATGACACTGTTACGTAGTTGAGCTTGAAAAATGAATCTAATTTTTAAATTATAATAGTATTACTCAGAGCAAAATGCTTTTGTTTTACACTACATTAGATTATGTGATAAGAAAAAAAAAAATTATATTTTTTTAGTGTTATGTTTGGATAGGTAAAAAAGCAAAACATATGATAAATATGGATGAGATTTCTTTCTTTCCTTTGTACAACCTCCCTCACAAATTATTTGTTTGGCGTAAAAAACAAAAAATTAAAAATAATTTATTTTTATATCCAAATATTCAATTTTTTCATAAATTATAAAATTACTTAATGAGATTTTTCAATTGGTAAAAAATTAAAAATTTCAATACAAAAATATATTATTCTTAAGTTCTTAACAGATAATCTCAATATTATAAATATTTAATTATCAATAAATTTGTTTCTCAACATTTTTGGGAGAAATAAAAATATATCAAAAAAAAAAAATTATCGGACCGAGGGTTTATCTGTTCCTTGTGTAGCCGGAAATACCAGCAAAGTCACGTATCTTCTATCTAGCGGCCTACCGCGTTTCACTTTCACCCTATCACTTCCCGAACAAAACATCTTTTGTGGTGGTGGTGACGGTGTTGGTGGTTACGCTGTGGTAATGGTGTAATAGTTATAAGGATAAATTATATATATATTTTTTGATATTTGAATTTAATACATATTATTTTTTTATGTTTAAAAAATTATACTGATTTCTTTATTATTGTAATTATTTTGACGGAATTAACGTTAGTATCAAAAAGATATTAAATTCATATACTTTTTCTTTTCTTGTTTGCTTTACTTCTTCAGTTTTTTTTTTTTCTTCACTATTTTTCTACTAGGAGTTGATGCATTTTATATAAGTAGGAGAATTTGTGAAATGAGACTATTAATCACATGGGTGGAAATGTAATTTTTATAAAGTTAGGAGATGAGATGTAATCAGATCAAACCTCATGAGGTGTCAGTATAATTTACTCTAGTTATAATGAAATAATGGCGGTGTTTGAGACAATGATGGTGGTAGAAGGTGGAAGTAGTAGTAATAGTGGCATAGTTGCGGCGACGTGAGTAGTAATGTTATAATGATACAAGTCTATACTTAAAATAAGTAGTTATAAATTCAATTTGCATAAAATAAGTTTTCAGTTATGTGAAAAAAAATTTAACTTTAAATTTACATTTTAAAAATTACTTAAAATTTTAAGTGAACTTATAATAATTATCGAATAAGATTATTTGATTTTCACTTAATGTATAAGGTTTTAAATATTGAATTAAATTTTCAAACATTACCGATACGGAAGTTTATTATGAGACCAACCCTATGATACTTCTCACATAAAAGGGTCATGATAACAAGTATCTTTGGAGTACAATGAAAAGGCAAAAGAGTTGAAATATACAAAATATTTTTTATTAAATTTAAAATAAATTTTTATTAAAATTAATATAGTACACTGGTATCAGCAAAAACATATTACAAATTGATATATAATAAAATTTATAAATTTTAATAATTAAATTTATAAACTTTACCATACCATATTCTTATTGACACAACTGAATAATAATTTTTCTTGAACAATACTCTAGAGATACTCTTTATTATTTGCCAGTATATGTCTAAGGATGTTGTGTTGATAAATGCAAACCATATTCATTATTAATTTGTAGCATAATCTCCGAAAAAGCGCCAAATGATTTTCTCAAAGAAACATTCCTCCTCTCTCCCCCCCGTAAAAACAACATTATTCATTCATTTTAAGCATATTGGAAATTGAAGCTACGAGACTCTGAATTCTGACTTCTCTTTCTTTTAACCAAATAAATGGTAATATAATAAGAAAATGTAATTAAAATTCACATGTACTTTATAAATCCTGGTCACACCATAACCATAAGGACTGTATATAAAAATATTAAAATTAAACCCAAAACGCCTCAAACCCTTACCTCCTCTCTCTATTAATACTAGCCCTCCATTTCCATGCCCAAACTCAAATCTCTACACAACAGAGTAAGTGAGAGATAACATAACAGAGTTTTAGAGAGAGAAAGAGTGCTCTTCACGAAACAGTCTTGATCAGTGAAAAACAAGTACTTTTCTCTATTCTAATATTCAATATGTGTAACCCAAACACCACACCCACCACAATCACCACCACGGATCACCACAAACTATCCTCCCAAAACCCACCGCCGCCACCACAAACCCACCTCTATTTCGATCTCTTATCATTCCCAAACACCATAAAACACCCAGAAAAGAACAAAACAACCCAACAATTCCACAACAACTACCCAACACTCCCAGATATCATCACTGAAGCCAAACAGCTCTTCAAACTCTCTCTCCCCATAATGCTAACCTCTCTCATCTTCTACTCTCGCTCTATCCTCTCCATGCTCTTCTTAGGCCGCCTCGGGGACGCCGAGCTGGCTGCGGGTTCACTCGCTATCGCTTTCGCTAACATCACCGGCTACTCGGTCCTCTCAGGTCTAGCCCTAGGCATGGAACCTCTCTGTTCTCAAGCATTCGGAGCTCAACGTCCAAAGCTTCTCTCTCTAACTCTACACCGCTCTGTTATATTCCTTCTTGTTTCTTCAATACCCATTTCGTTTCTATGGATTCACATCTCAGAAATCCTTCTATATCTCCATCAAGACCCCATTATCACAAGCTTAGCACACACTTATCTCATTTATTCTCTCCCTGATTTGTTCAGCAATTCATTCATTCATCCAATCCGCATTTACCTTCGTGCCCAAGGAATCACCCACCCGCTCACTCTAGCATCTCTCGCCGGTACGGTACTCCACTTACCGGTCAACATTTTTTTGGTTTCGCACCTCGGTCTCGGTGTCGCCGGTGTGGCCGCCGCCTCCGCCGTGTCCAATTTGTTGGTTTTGTTGACTCTGGTTTTGTACGTGTGGATATCGGGTTTGCACGTGCCGACGTGGAGCCCGCCCAGCCGCGAGTGCTTGACCGGGTGGAAGCCGCTGGTCCGACTCGCCGCACCGAGCTGTGTTTCGGTGTGTCTAGAGTGGTGGTGGTACGAAATTATGATCGTGTTGTGTGGCCTCTTGGTGGACCCCAGAGCCACCGTCGCTTCGATGGGGGTTTTGATCCAAACGACGTCGTTGATTTACGTTTTTCCATCCTCGTTAGGTTTTGCGGTTTCAACTCGGGTCGGCAATGAACTCGGGGCAAACCGGCCCAATAAGGCCCGGCTGTCGGCCATGGTGTCTATATTTTTAGCGGCCGTGATGGGATTATTGGCACTCATTTTTGCCTCCGGGATGAGATACAAGTGGGCCCGGATGTTCACGAACGATGTCGAGATCATACGGTTGACATCGGCTGCATTGCCTATCCTAGGGCTATGTGAGCTCGGGAATTGTCCACAAACTGTCGGGTGCGGGGTGGTTAGGGGAACAGCCCGCCCGACCACCGCAGCTAACGTGAACCTCGGAGCTTTCTATCTAGTGGGCATGCCGGTGGCCATTGGGCTTGGGTTTTGGCTTGAGATTGGGTTTTGTGGGCTTTGGTTTGGGCTTCTCTCCGCCCAATTTTGTTGTGCGGGCTTGATGTTGTATGTGGTTGGGACTACAGACTGGCATTATCAAGCCAAGAGAGCTCAGAAGCTAGCATGCACCGGATGCGCAGAAAACACGCCGCTGTCTGGTGATTGCGACGAAGAAAAAGAGCCATTGATTTGCATAATGGTGACTTCATCATGATAATCAACTGACCATGTACAATTATATATATTAAATTTTTTAATTTGTATGTTTCTTTGTCAACTGATAGTGAATTGTTGATTATTTTTTAGTAGGGAGAGTTTTTGAGGTCTCAATGTGAAAATGATAGTCAATAAAAAAATTTCACACTTCGTTTTTTGAATTTGGATTGTTTCTCGTCTCTCTTGTGTTTTTTTTAACTCGACATGGGGTTGAATTGTATTTTGCTTAGCATAACGTAACGATTTGTGTTTCAAATATTTTAAACATGTGAAGTAATCTAGCATGTTTGATTTCACCTAATGAGTCGATTTTTTTATTTTATTTTTTTTGAACTAGCCTAATGAGTCAATTAGTACTATATTCCTCCTACTAAAAATTTACTGTTTTTTGAATATGCCTCAAGAATCAAACACATACATGCATGCACGCCCACAAACACTTTTTTAACAATTAGGGAAACAATGATCCTTGCGATCCAAATAGATAAATTAATTATAGTGTTTATTGGTATAATAATTTGACAAAAAGATAAGTTTAATTTGGTTTAATTTGGTTCTTTGACGTATGCCATACCTTACTCAAATAGGGTGATCAAGCACACTTCAAACTTTTTACAGTGATGGAAAGTTGAAACACTATAACATATAAGAGTTTTAGAGATTAATTTTTTTGGCCTCTAAAAATAAAAATTTTGTTGCAAAAAATATTTAGGAACCAATTTTTATCGTCGTGAGAAGTATCGCTAAAAGATCGTTCTGAAAAGTTTAAAAAAAAGGCGTTTTAATGACAAAATTTTGAAAATGTCACTAATAAATAGACTTTTAGGACACAATAATTTGTCTCAAAATGATTTATTTTTTGAAAAAAAAAAATTTGGTCCCAAAATGATAATAATTCATCACTAATGTTTAATTTTTGTTGTTAAAAATATAATGACAATACTTTTCACAACAAAAATATTTGGTTTCTAAAAAATAATTTTGTCTCTAAATTTTGGTCTCTAAAATCTTAATTTTTTGTAGTAAAAATGAATAGTTATTCAAAAGAACTTGATGAAATCATTTTGGATTGTCAAATTTTGCAACTTTTTTCAAAGACTTCTTAGATCCTTTCATTTGACAAATAAATAAATAAACATGCAATTTGTTTTGAAACTGAAAACTAAATAAAAAAGAAAAAAACCCATAGCAGCGTTTCCATCTTCTTGATTTGTATTTCAAAATCATGATAAACGTGATCACTTGAACTTAAACACCGACCTTTGTAATGGTTTCAAATCACTCTTTTTATTGTCATATATTAAAAAAATATTTATGCTGTGTTTGGTTGGAGGATTTGGGAAGGGATTTGGAAAGGGAAAGGGAAAAGGCGTGTGAAATTATGTGAAATATAGGCATGATTTATTCACATTTCACCTACCTTTTCCATTTTTTTTTTCAAATCCCTTCTCAAATCCCCCAACCAAACACAGCATTAGAGAATAGTATTTGGAATTTAAATTTATAGTGGTTTTAATCACAACTAAAATAAATGTGATCATCACATCTTAAATTTTAGAAAATTTTTAAATACGTAGCATTGCTGTTTGTTCCATGAAATGAGGACGCTTCTGATTGTGGCAGTTCAATAAAATTGTCAAAACACTACTTTTCAAGTTTTTATATTTTTTCAAATGTGATTATGCAATGTTTAGAACAACAATCACTTATTTGACAATATGATTGGTCCAAGTCTATGGTTTGATTGGTATTATTAAAAACTTTTGGCTTTTCTAAATCTTTCAAATGTCATAAATATATTATTTGGCCAAGTCATAAGCAGAGAAATATCATTCTTACTTTTTGCATGAAAAAAGCAAGTAGCGTTTCCATCTTCTTGATAGTGTCTCATCGTCATCGTCATGATAAACTTGATCTTTTTGAGACCTTTGTAGTGGTTTCAAACTACACTTGTGAAGATGTTTGACGCAGTAAGTTAGATAACAAGTTCATAGAACAATTTTATTATTATTTGATGACAAAATGATAATTTAAATGATTTTCTAATAGTGTGTTTGGTTGGGAGATTTGAGGAGGGATTTAGAAAGGGAAAGGGAAAAGGTGTATGAAATTAGGTGAAATGTAAGTATATTTTATTCACATTTCACCTAATTTTTCCTTTTCTCTTTCCAAATCTATCCTCAAATTCTCCAACCAAACACAGCGTAAAGGTACTGGATTAGCCTGAATGATCCATTCTCTTTTTTAAACAACTAAACTAGAATGTGGGAAGCAATGATATTTACATATTAAATCAATTGAATTTATGTAATTACATAAAAAGTGAAATACTTTAGCGTCATACCGTAGGAAATCAGTTCACAAACATTATACAAATACTAAGAAATTAAAAGGATAATAGAGAACATTTAAAAGACAAAAAAACGTTGGGGTGGCCGCCTTGGCCCACCCTTGCCTCGGTCTGTAAATATATACAGCGTAATATTAAGAATATAAATAATAAACTCATCATTTTCTCTAAAAGCTTAAAATTGAATATGATATTAAAGGAGTGTTTGGTCAATTTATGAAAGAATGACTGATCACATGTGATGTGAGAAGGCACATTGGAAATAAAAATAAATAAAATTACATTAAAAATACTTAGCAGTTAACAATTTAAGAAATAATTTTTTTTTTTCTAGAGATGCGAAAGTTTGTTTGCTCATCGCGGTTAGCATGAGAAGGAATAAATAAATAAATAAATAAATAAAAAGAAGAAGAAGATAATATTTATGGTCTAATGAATTCCAGATACTATATCAATCATTAAAGGATAACAAAGTATTATGATGAGATGAGTTTTAACTACGGGACTTTAGCTTAGTTGACTAGCTTTTTGACCTTAATTCTCTCTTAAAGGGAGGTCAGTGGCATGGGAGGGCAACTAAGCTATATGGGTGTGAGTTTTAATTCTTCTGAAATATTAATGTAACAATTAATTAGTAACTTTCACCGATAAAAAAAATAATAATAATGAGATGAGTTTTAAACATACTACTATTTATTCACATGTTTACCTTTGTAGACAATTTTACAAGCAATTCAATCATGAAATGTAGACATAACCAAATGCAAACTGGATTTATTTCAACCATGGATGGTATTACATATGTTTATAAGTAAACAAAATAATTAACAATATTTATTTTAGGGTAAAATTCATTTTACTCTTTATGGTTTAGTCTCAGAATACTTTATCTTTTTATAATTCAAATATAGGTAGAAAACTCCCTTATGGCTTTTAAAATAAAGTGCAAAGTTAGCTCTCTTAAATATAAAGGCAAAATTACCTAAATACCCCTATGTTATATTCTCATTCTCTCTTCTCTAATACATATACTTTTCATTCTTAATCACAAATTTAACAAATTAAATCATGAATTAAACTAAATACCCTAATTTATTATCATAAAATTACCTTAAACTAATTTTTATGTTTTATTTTTAAACCAATTTTTTATTTAATAAATTTTTTAATTAAACATAAAATTATTATCAATTAACCTAAACACCTTAATTTATTAACCATAATCATAAAATTATCTTAATCTAAGTTTTAGTTTTTAATCTAATTTCTTATTTAATAACATTTTAAAATAAACATATATATATATATATATAACAAATTAAATAATAAATTAAACTGAACACCCTAATTTATTATCATAAAATTACATTATTTAATAACATTTTAAATTAAACATATACAAATGCACATATATTTATTTAATTATTTATTTAAAAAATTAAATCATAAATTAACCTAAATACCTTAATTTATTAACATAAAATTAAATCATAAAATTACCTTAATTTAATTTTTAATTTTTAAACTGATTTTTTATTTAATAACATTTTAAATTAAATATTTGCATAGGTATACATATCTATAAAATAAATTAAACCATAAATTAATCTAAATACCTTAATTTATTACCATAAAATTATCTTAATCTACTTATTAATTTTTAGGCCATTTAATAACATTTTAAATTAAATTAAATTATTGATGGAAGATGACAATTAGGATTAGTGTTTGGTTAGGATTAAGATTTAATTTGGAGAATAAAATGAATATGAGGGTATTTTTGACATTTGATCCAATTTTTTTACCTGACTTAGAACTTTTGCATTACCCAGTCTTAATTTGGAAGAGTGTGACACACCTTCTGTTATCTTTAACGGAAAAACTAACCGTAACACTTTAATCTAAAACCACAAAAGAGTTCTCTGCCTATATTTAAATCATAAAAAAATAAAATCTTCCGAGACCAAACTATGAGGTACCTTTTTTTTAATTAAGCATTCTCTCTCTCTCTCTCAAATGTTTAAACCTCTCAATTCTCAGAGTGTCTTGTCATTGTTTTCAATGAGATTTTGAGCTTGTATTGTTTTGGAAAAACTACCAAATGTAATGTTCCTTTCATTAGAAAAGGCAGGTTGGTATGTTGTTAGTATTTTTCTTAGAATAAATTTGAGTTATCAAAACACTATTTAAAAATAAAACTGAAACTATGTTGTTTGCTCCAAATCTCAATTTTACAAAAGGCTTGTGCAGTGTCTCTTTTATTTTAATATGTTCAACACTTGAATTTTCACAGACAGTCAAGACTTGTTGGAACTTGTAGTACCCCCATTATAAATCATCATTTGATATGCTTTTATTGTAGAGTACTCATTTTTAATTAAAAATTCGAATAAAAAGGGTTAAACTCCAAACTGGTACAACTAGACCTAACAAGAAAGTGCAAAAGCTACAAAAAAATAAATAAATGAGTAGAATGACAAAAAGATAATATTCAAGAAATCAAAAGTACATCTAGGTCTTCCATCATACATATATAGAGCAGTAGCACTCAACATAAGTGTTGCTACTACGATATTTTATTGAAGAGTCCTCATTTCTAAGTAAAAATAAAATGTAATTGTGGCACTTTAGTCTTTTTCGATTATATTTGAATCACATGAGAGCGATCTGTTCTTAAATCAAGAAGAATGGATGTTGAGATGATTTGTAGAGATAAAGGGAAGATAGAAAAATACTAGGGTTACAAGAGGGGAGAAGCGGCGCAATGAAACAAATATTGTTCGAGGCTGGG